TTTGAATTGGTGAATTACAGATTGTTTCATCTAATATCAAAAATATGGCTTCTGTTATTTCCTATTTGCAGTAATATGTTCTCTAAGTTTTGCTAGCAAATTACTTATGTGATTTCTAGTCTGATTGCTGGTCTAATTGGTGGGTAACTGCTGAGGTGACTGTTGTAATATTAAAATATATATGTTATGGTTAACATTTTGCTATATATATAGTAAACTCTTTTGATATTACATACTATTGAATATTCATATGGGCATTCCTAAGGTTTAGCCTATAGGCTATAACTATAAAAATCCTAAAATAGAGGTATTTCAGGATAATAGGTGCTACCCATTGGTTTGCAGGTTTTATACATTTATACTTCTAGCTCTACTTCTACCTCTACCTCCAATATTTTCGATCCATATACATTTATATATATTGTAACAAAAAATTGTCATGGAAATCCCTTTTTACATTATTTATCATATTTAAAGAATTACATTAATAACTTTGATAAGTTAATACTTTTTGATACAATTCTAGTTCTTTGTTATGAATCTGATAAATCAGTATGTATAATATTCATTATTATGGGCAGATAAAATCATCTTACTTTTCTTTTCTTGATTATTTCTTGATTATTTCTTTTACATCATATCTTTTGGTACATTTATTATTTAAAACCTTAATGAATATTGTTGTCTATGAAGTAAGTAATATTTTCTTTGAAGTAAATATCAAAAATTGGTTCTTGAAATAATTATATTTACTTATTAACTTATCAGTTGAAGTATTTTGTATTCCAGCTTTATTGTTATACATTAATAATTTTAATTAGAGTTTTTTGATAACATTCTAGCAGAAGACAAAATACTGACAGTTTATGCCATTTCCATCAGAGATTTTTCTTTTTTTTCTATTTTACTATATATTAATTATTTTACTTACAATTTTTCTTTGTAATTATTATCATTATTGAGAGCATCACCCGGTGAACAAATGCTGCTATTTTACGATTGTGGTGCCAGCGATGAAATGTACACAAAGAAATACCAAGGATGGAAGAAGTCTGAGTGGCAGTAACAAACATTAAATGAAATATTTTGGAGTATTGACAGTTATTTTATATGCAATCTGGATCTTTGATAAATGATTTTTTCCTTTTAGTATTTGTAAAATCCTAGACATATATGTTTCTGGATCTGGATTATTAATTTTTTTAAATAAATTTTCAAAACAGATTTTTACAGCTGCGCTTTCCTTCCATTTCCGGATTTTGCTTTCTTTTAGTTTCATGCTTATGGATGAATATAATTTATTTCACCAATAATTCTATTTACTATGATCTGTTTGCAATGGATTAAAGACAGGTGAACTAATTTAGTATTATTTCATTCTTTCCAGGAGATGTCTCATCACCACTAGTTTCATCTAACATCAGTTTCTCATAGGTTAGCATGCCCATCAACAAAGTAGTGGTTGATCATATAATTTAGAGATATCTGAAGTTTGCTTAGTTGAAGCACCTTGTATTGCAGTATATACCAAAACTTTATTGGTATACAGGTGGTATTCAATCATTTATTCTGCTTAAGACAAATAATAACAATTTATGCCATTCCTAACAGAAATTTTTTTCTTATTAATTTTGTAAAGTTATTGGATTAAAGACAGGTAAACTAATAGTTATATGTTAATACATCTAAAATTTTTCTATAAAGTTCAGCATCAAGCCCTCCATCAATTTTACAAAGATAACTAACGCCAAGAGATGTGAAACACCCAAACGAAAACTGACCCACCACCAAACATAACAGTTAGTTTAACATGAGCGTCTTGAAGTGGCTCTCCTGGTTTTTTCCAGCAATACTGTCACTATTTCAATAGTTGAAGTATCTTGTATTGCAGCTTGATTGTTATACACCATAACTTAATTGGTGTAAAGGTATTTGTTTAGGTGTGTGTTAATAATTTTAACAATTTTCTGAAGAATAAATAAATGTTTTTCTACTTTTAAACTATAAATGTAATGTCATTAAAATAGTCAGATATAAATTCTATAAGTTATACTAATAAATTATAAGATTTATCTATTTATATTTCAAGCTTTGAGCAGTAACTCCTATAGGTACTATTAGTTGATATGTTATCCTCTAATTGGTTTTGATAATAAAAAAATGAAAAAAAAGAATATCCACGTAAATTTATTAAACAATTGTGGTTGTAAGCTTTAGTTTCTAAAAATGCTTTCATTCAATTCAGAAGGGTGGTTCCAGTAATGAATTTAAATAATTTTTCTAATGTTCCTGTAGATTGGATGTAAACCCATTGTTTCAATCAGTTGTATCTTATTTCAGTCTACTCTTTTTGCAGAAACTTCAGGAATGGTCATTTTGAAAGCTCTAAATAGTTTTGACTTTCTGTCCTTAAATTACTGTGTTAATCATTATTGTTATGTATGATTATTTTTTAGTAAATTTACTAAAGAAATGAATTATAAAATATAGTAATAGTTATAAGCACCTCTGGCAGTTTGATTTGTTATACTATTTGATTATATATTTATTATGTTCATTTTTTTTTCACTTTATGTGATGTCAGGCAAATTACCAATTGAGATTAAAACGAATCTGTAGTGCATTTAATGGCTCTAATAACAACTCGATTGCCATATGAAATGAATCCTTGTCATATTTTTGATAATATAAAAGTGATTTTTCAACATGATATCGTAAAATTTTCTTAACAAATATATTAAGACCATTATTTACTAGTTATTATTACCAATGTTATAAATAATAGATACCAATAATGTATTTCTAATATAAATATATTAATGGACTTATAGAATTATTTCATCAGTGATTTTATTGATTATTATTTCCATATAATATTAGCTCTTATTCATAATATATAATAATTGTTGAAATTTTAATGAAGCTTATTATATATTAATTAATTATCTATATTCCTTGATGCATTCCGAAATATGAAGCAAGTAAGTGCAATGAAATTAATATTCCTGAAAGTCTTTCTTCTTCTTTTTTATAATAATACATAAAACAATATGTTTTGTAGAATATTAGTATAATTTAAAATTATCCTATAATTCATGTGTATATTATTGCTAAATTAATTCCTAGATTTTGTTTTGAGGTAAAGAAATGGCAAGCAACCATAATGATAAAAATAATAATGAAAATACCAGAAGATAAAATTTTGGGAAAAGCAAAAATTATAAGAAAATATTATTGCATCAGGTATTATTGTTTTAAAAACTTCTTTGAATAGTTTAATAATTGAATTAATTTAAAATATTTTCCAATTATTTTACATAAAGTGCTTTTGGTATATTCTTATATCCATGACTATAATCAAATTGTTCTCTGTAAGAATGATTGTTTGCCAATATTTTAAATGTGGAATCATTAATATACTAAAAATATTAAGCATATATCAGAAATTTTCTTATGTGTCATCATCAGATTTGAAAAGATTGAGGTAGTGATAATCAGTCTTGTATGTGAAACATGATTGGTGATGATAAGCTTTCACTGCAATAATTGATAAACTTTTTGCTTTATTTTTCAATATTAATAGGTTTTATGATTAGCACATCCAAAAACAAGTGAAATGAATCTTTGGTATTGCCAGTTTTAGGTGGATCAAATATAGAGATGATATCACTCATCACTTGAAAGAAGAATCTTAAGAGTTGTTTTATGTGTTAAAGTAATATATTATATATTTTTTATTATAATAATTGGTTTATTTTTTAGAAAAAATAAACCAATTCGACTTTTTAAATTATAAATATAAATTATTTGTGGAATCATACATAGTACCTTAAGTAGTTGAACTAAAATCCCACATAGGCATCTATTTAAACAGTTGTGGTCTTGTGGATTAAATAACCATTTACATATTTAAATGTTTTATAATATTATGTATAAGTATTATAATTCAATTCAATTAAAAGAGTGTTATACTATTCATAATTTTGGTAGAAAGTATAGTATTAAGATAAGTTTAATAGTTAAAATGAATTCAAGGTTTACTCATATTGGTTTTACAATTATTGTTTATAAATTATAATAAAATCATGATTTATGATAATATCTACTAAATTATGGTAATAATATAACTTAGAATTTTATAACAGATACTATTAGAAATTATGAGTAATTTGCAATTACTTTGTAATAAGTAATTCAGAAAAAAATTGGCATTATTTGCTGTTAGCAATGGATTATATATATATAAAATATTATGAAAATGAAATTAAAAAGAGAACAAAACAAATGTTGTACTAACCTTTACCATTCTGTTTAAATATAAAAAAAATCACATAGCCACACATAGCCATGCATAGCCATATATTTATATACAGCAATACATAGCCAGGTAAATAAACAAACTGCCACTAAACAGAAAGTATTTAAGCCAATCATAACTCATCGCATATTTTTTTCAATATTTATATTAATATAAAATATGTTTGGTTGTTATTACTTTTGTACTATGCAGTCATACAATATGGCTTACATATAATACTTTACATAGCCACAAGTAGAACCCATTTTTTTCATATGAAACAGGAAAATTTAACCCAATTTATTTATTTGATTCTTACAAGCACTGGAACTATATACAGAAATGGCCTGGTTATTTAAAAGATTTACATAATTATTTTTTATTATTTATAAACATTTGTCATTTAGTCATTGGTTGATATATTAAAAAAACTAGTTTTAATATTTCATTAGAAAATAGCAACTTGGTCCTTTTCTGGAAAAGTATGACTTTATAGAAATAGGTCCTTTTCTGGAAAAGGATAACTTTATAGAAATAAGTAGAATGCTATATTAAACTAAAAAATGCAACATGTTTAATATGATGATTAATTTAAGCATGCATTATTTTATTCAATACTTTTGTATGAGAGTATGATTTATTATAAAATTAAAAATTAATCTGTCTTATACGATCAAGCATAATACGTATCATCTAGATTTTTTTATTCATTAGATTCCTTCTCTTTATTATCAAGATTTTGTATGGGACCTATTAAAAAATAAAATAATAATGTGAATAAAATCACAAATGCCATAATTTTAATCTTTAAAACTTTAATTACCTATTTCTGAACTAGAAATTTTACAATTTTCTAAAATGTTTTTAAATCAAATAAATTAATTTGTATCCTATTAATAATAAATCAAAAAAAAAAAATAAATAAATAAAAAAAGTAGTTACCTAAACTTTCACTTGATATTATTATTTCCTCATTATTTTCAATATCATTAATAGTAGTCTTTGAACTTAATTCTCTTTGACTTAAAATTTCATTTAACTTTGCAGAGTAATCGATTTTTCTACTTGTATAACAAGATAATGATTCGGAATAATAGGTTCATTCACTGTAAAAGAATTTCTTTAAAAAAAAAAAAGTATATAGCAAATTTTAATCAAACCAAATTTTTCTAAATGCACTATTTACCAATTGTGGACGGTATTCTTTCATCGATACTAATAATATTAACATTATTAGTAAAAATTAATAATTGATCGTGCCATCCATCAAAATTTTCATATAGTTCTTCAGCCGTTGGCCTTTTACTAGGATCAGGACCCCCACACCTTTTCATTAATTTTACATATTCCACCTCCAAGTCTTCATATTGTTTTTGGACCTCGGCATCATAATAAATCTCTGGCGACTTAACAGTCCTTGGTCTCAAACCTTGACAAATATTTAAGGCAAGATTAAGATCATGAGGCACATTATTAAAAGCGGGGATTCCAGAATTCATTTCCCACATTATAATACCAAAAGAATATATGTCAGCGGCTTTAGTATAAGGTTCGCCACGTAATACTTCTGGAACAATATAAGGAAGTACTCCATAAACCTCATCTGATTTAACAGGTTTATCTGCTGGTTGACTTAATCCTAAATCACTTATAAAGCCCAAGTCTGATTTTGTAAACCGCTATGGAAATCACCATGAAATAGATGACATATTAATAATAAAATCAATGGCGTAATGCGGCGGTGCATGCGGCTGATTTTAATACGAAATTGTGCATCATTTATGGAAGATCTCTCTAGCTGGATTTGATTAAATTAAGCGATTTTCGAATTTTCGAATTTTCGAATTTCACGTGACTGTCCTAGACATTGATTTCAAAAAAAAAAAAAAAAATCCGTTTCTCTTGAATAAATCCCGTAAAAAAAAATCTTAATGAACGACAACAGTGTATATATAATAGTTTTTGAAAATTTTAAAATTTATTGTATTGTTCGGCACATGCTCAATTTATTTAGGATAAAATAAATCTTGATCATAGCCGAAACTTTTAAAAATTGAAAATTAACTATTAATTGCATAACTTAAGGACCGAGCGGTAGGCCGAAGCGTCCGGTATGGGGAGATTGTTGGTGCTTGACGCCATCAATTTTATATGTATTTCCTTCGTTCAAGCTGTATTTTGTTTTTTATTTAATAAAGAAATGCGTTTACGCGAGTTGTTAGCAAAAAAAAAAAAAATTACATAACTTACTTAAATGTCTGCGTTTATATCAATCACACCTGTTTTATCTTTATAAAATGGTAAACTTTAATAGATCTTTTTATCATATAAATTTTTTGCTATATATAACAAGGATTAATGAATTATTGCGTCAAGAACATTAATTACTGCGTAGTAGATCGGGCTATTTTCTTATGATTCTCACGTAAAAAAGCCTACATACATATTGCATTATTATTTTTAATTATTAGTGTATATATATTTTTATATTTATTTTAATTTTTAAAGCTTTGTTTATTTTAAATTTTGTAATCAAATGATCTTTTGGGCAGTCAATCATTTTCATGCACCGTAAAATGGAATGGATATACATCATTTATTAATCCAGTAAAATGTCCATTCGGTTTATTAATATTAGGGAAATTGGAGTTTCGGGAAATGATCCAATTTGGAAAATGGACGATCAGAAAAATGATTTCGAGAAATGATATATTCGGTAAAATGACATTCGAGAAAACGTACTGTAACCAGATACCCGCAACATGCGATATTGGATCGACATTTTTTTGACTGATCAACTTATTACTTTCTTACTTGGAATTATTTTACATTTGTACATTAAATTCTTTTTAAATTCGAGTAAAATAAATTATAACAAGATCAATAAAATATTAAATAGAAGATAGATTTTTGAGTAATTTGCACACGAGTTAATTGCCGATCCGCATATACTGGGTAGAAATAAATTGCAGGGAACTATCTATGTAAATCATCGCTAATTTAATGACTTCATTAAATCAATAAACCATTTAATAACGTCATAGGTGAAACCCACAAAAACGAAAAAAATTTATCGAAATATAGCAAAAAAAAAAATTTCATATAAGTGTACGACAGATTTCATAATACTCAAACGTATAATGAGATTTGGGTATGTTTATTTTTTGTTTCTAATTCTTTAAGTTTGAAGTAAAATTGACTTTGAGAACGTTGCTAACGTACTTTTTCTATTTATAGTTTTTTTAATAGAAACATTATGGACATTACTTCGAACTGTTTTTATAGGTAATGCCGTAATGGGAAAGGAAATGGTAGATTTATTTGATAAGAAACATTTCTAATACTTTTATGCTGGCCAAGACGAACAGGACTTACAAGTAATGAGAAGGGGAAGGGGAAGGGATTTTTTTATGTTTATTTAATGAGGAACATTTCTAAGATTTCTATTTATCTCTAATTTGTAAAAATACCAGCCCAAAATGGTCCGGACTTACAGATAATGAGAAGGTTGGAAGAGATTTTCTATGATGCTTGTTTAATTAGAAGCATTTTATTTTATTTTATTTATAGGAATGTCGATTTTAACTCATGCTTTATTATCTTGTATTTTATATATGTATAGTACAAATATTGCTAAACTGCTAATAAAGATAATAAAAATTTTTGAAATAAATAAAATAAACGTGTGTTTTTTGAAGCGTTCAGTTTCAAGGTAATCGAAAAGTATTAAACCCGCAAAAAAGGACCGTTAGTAAGGCTCTGTCACAGGTCGCCTGTAGCCATAAGTTTCCAATTGCAAAGTATGTTTTTGAGATTATTTAATGAGGAAGTTAGGGAACGTGAGATTCAGAAAATAAAATTTTTTATTATTATTCATAGCCCCGCGGCCCCCGCGCCAATCATAACAATTTTCAATCCCATCACATGCGGATCGGCAATATCGTTCCGTAAATTAAATTGCTGATGAGATTTTTATAATATCGCAACCTAAATTTCTCCACAGATAGGCGTTTTAAAAATATAGGGTTAAAGTCTAAATTATGTTTTGGCGATCATATAGCAAAATGAAATAAATGAAACATAAATTAGAGTTTAGCATTACTTTTTTATATTCATTCTATTTATTTTTTATTATTTATTTCCGTCATATTTCCACTCCTTGGAGGATTACCAATAATGGATGACTATGTGATAATCTTCTTATGTAGATATATAATAACAGCAGAATCGAAGCTTTCTAACTTTATTATACAAAAACACATCCAATCATGAAGCTTATTATTATTGTATTATTTCTTATATTCTTCAAAACTTTTGCTCTTAAATTCTCTTTAAATTGTGATGGTAAGCTATTTAAGAACGACTTTTATTTATTTTTATAAGATAGCTAATGCTAATAATCCATTTTTTTTTTACATTTATGTAATTTTATGTTAGATATTGATTATATAGACATCAAATTTTTAGCAAATCATCAGGTCGCATTAATAATAGATGGACCAGATAAATTAGAAAATACTGATAATTTCGCATGTTGCTTGCAACAGGGACCAATGATGATTAGTAATTATTCGTTTAACTATAATCAATCCCTGATTTATACTGTTGTATCAGATACTACATGGGAAAATGGATACACTATGGATAATATCTTAAATGCGAATAATTGTTTGAGTAATAAATATTTTGATTGTAGTACAATTTATCAAGGAGATCATTATTACACGCGAGCTGACAATTATGATCCCACAAAATTTCCCTCTCCGGGAGATATTATTGGGTTTATAGTTAATGTATATGCTCATTGTTTTAATTACTGCGAAACGACTTGCTTAAAATCTTGTTTGTTTACTGGTGGCATTTCTTATGATCCACCAGAATAAACAAATTAATTTTGTGATGTGCATTATTTATTATTATCCCACGGTTCCTAGTTAAAATTTGTGATTTTTTTCTTGATATTCTCACGGGTGGTGTTTATTTAAAGAGATGGGTAAAAGTCTATCAATATTGGAATAAAAAGTCTATCATTATTAGTCAAAATAATAAGTTTATTAAAAGGACTTTATGTAGGGATACCGTAGTTATTTCATGGAGTCATGATTTTCACGGCTGCGCCGTGAAAATCATTGATATCCACAGTTCCCCGATTACTTATAACATTTGTGCTTAGTAATTTTATAGTCAATACTTATAATAATAATAATATCTTTATCAAACAAATTTTTTTTACTCTTTTTTTTGAAAAATTTTAAATAAAAAAAAAATGTTTTATAAAATACGCATAAACGCGAGATTTAATTTGTTTTTAAGATTTTAATGAATTTATCATTATGGTATAACCAAAATTTTATGTTACCTGCATATTAAATATAACAAACAACCCAATTTTTTAGATTTACTAATGGTTTATTATTAGCATGCAGTGGAGTTATTTTACTACTATTAATGCAGCGCTTGAGTACATATCGATTATAAGCCTAGAGTTCCAATCCGTTATCCGTTAAAAAGCGGATATCTATGGATATTTGGATATCCGGATTGAACAAATCCACTGACGGTGTGAAAATGTTAAAATTTTCCTTTTACAGAAATTATTATATACGATCACTTAAAAGGACATTGCGTCTTTGAGAATTTCCTTCTTGAGTGGACCGGGTATCACTAAAATTGTTTTATCGAGTCATAATTCTGGTCGGAATTATAAATTTTGACCGAATTACTCTGCAAAAGTATTTTGATATCCGGATGAATGGATACGAATTCTAATTAGAACCAGTCAATGATCGAGTATTGATTCTGAATACAAACGATTTTCAATTGTAAGCTTTAGGTACTCTAAATATATCAATAATAGAAAGTATTTTGGTGAACAAGGCGTTCTAAAATAAATTGTTTTAATGTAACGACTTTTCTTTCCATTGCTTAATAGTTTAATATTTTGATTGATAATACATAATTATTAACACATTGAAGCAACAACATTTAAAACTGTAGAAATAAATCAGAATCTATAATAGTTCATTGGATTTTTTTTTTACAGAATATTTTAAGATTACAAGTATTTAAGACTACCAATTTATTCAATCTATTCGTAATTTTTTATTTACCAACAATATTATATTAACTAGGAAATGATCAATGATCCCATGCGCCACTTCCAATAACCATTTGTCCAAAAAAAAAATTATTTTTATCTAATGTAAAAATATTCTTGCTTTATATTGATTTACTTTATTAAAATTTAACTTATATCTTATAAATTTCAAAAATAAATAACAGATAAAGTAATTCAGTAACCATTTTAATATTATTATCGTTATTTTATTCACTTTTTTTATGTACCATAGTTTATAAAATTTTATTTCTAAATTAATACATCCCATGTTAAAAAGCAAAAAGAATACAAGGATGCAAAAGGAATTAAAATATTATTATTATCTAATAATTCATATGTAACATATTTTTTCCCAGTAATTTACCGGCAAAAAAATATTTATCTGTTATGTTGATATGGATTTTCATCTTAAACTGATCAATTGTTTCATTAAAATCAACATCTACTGTTGTAATTTTACTCATTAATGTTTAACAAATATCAGTTTCGTCTAAAAACTTGATCCTTTTACGATTATTATTGTAATCTAATCCTAATAATATTTTTGAATTTTTACACCATGGTATTTTTACTCGTTGTTCATCATTACCATTTAAGTTGTTAGTTGGAATTTTACCATCAAATAAATGAGATCGATGAACGGGTTTGGTACAAAATCGTGGCATATAAAATTTTTCAGAAAAATGATCACGTGTCTGATTTTCTTCACAAAACTACAAAAATGATCATTTATCGGAGTTTTTCCAGAATTTTTTTTATAGGGCTGAAGCTCAGAATCCAAACGGCACAATATCCTGACACTCAAAATCCCAAAAAATCGGATGTACCAAAATGGTATAACTCGACACTTAATAAGCCGAAACTCAAAATACTGAAATGAAAAATCTTGAAACTCAGAGTGATGTAAAATATAAAATTACTCCAAAAAAAGTTAGACAACATTTCACAAGATTTTTGGCATTCTTTTCTTTATGCTAAAGAATTATGAAATTTTACAATGCAATAAATTTTTAATACAGTTCTTAATTGATAATGGTGTTAAGAACATATACTACTATATATATTAAAAAGTTATTATAAAAATTCAAAGATTGAAAGATTAAAAGTTAGTTAGCAAGTAAGTCTTTTTCAAATCAAATATTAATTAAGTTTAGCTTTTTGTTACATAATTTAATTTATTTTAATTTAATTTATTTTTTGTTAATACTTTCCGAGATACGGTTCAATTATCTTTATAAATAAAATTTTTAAAATAAGTCTATTTTTTATTATCACTATTTTTACTAAAAGCAAAAACTTTTGTACTAATTTTTTTTTTTGGTTAGTTTGATGACGGTTAAACTAGTAGCCGAATTCTGCTTGTGTCACTCATCTTGACAATCACACGAGCTAATTACTCGCAACATATCATTGGTTTGCCACCTTTTTTAAAGTTTCATCTTTCATTACGCCGATCACAATATTTTATTTATTTATTTTTTTTTTTTTAAAAAAAAAAAATTCAAACATGTCATCCCGAAATGATATTGAATGTAAAAATTGTAATGATTTTTATACAGATATAGAAAAAAAATGGTGTAAACCATGCCAAATAAATAAAGTAAATAGTCTTGTAAAAAATGTTGCAAATTGGACTAGTGGAAATGAAAAAATTGATAATTTCATTCAAGAAACACAATTAATATTTGATAGATATGATGATACAATAATTGAATGGATACCATACAATCAATTTAATAATATCAAAGAAATAAGCAATAGTAATTTTGCTACAATATATTCAGCAATATGGAATGATGGTCCTTTACAACATGATGAACATTATGAAGAGTTAAGAAGGGTACCTAATAAAGAAGTTGTTTTAAAACGTTTATATAATTTACAAAATATCATCAATGATTTATTATATGAGGTATGAAAATTTTTAATCTCTTTTAAATATTATATATTATAATAAATTTTTATTTTTTATTTTAATAGAGCAAATTATATTCTATTGAAAGAGATAAAGATGATTACCTTAAAATATATGGAATTTCTCAAAATCCAGATACGAAATATTATATTTTAGTTTTTAATGATGGTTTACATTGTCTAAACTGTGGTGATGAAAATGAAGATGATGAATGCTGTATACCATGTCAAAGAAATAATTTAAAAAATAATTTTGAAAACTGGACTAGTGGAAACGAAAAAATTGATGAATTCATTCAAAAAATGCAATTACAAATCGACTATCAGAATGATATAATAATTGAATGGATACCATATAATCAGTTTAATGATATCAAAGAAATAAATAAAAGTGAATTTACTGCATTATATTCAGCAATATGGAAAGATGGACCATTAAAATATGATGAGAATTATAAAGAGTTTAAAAGAGCACCTAACAAAAGAATTGCTTTAAAACATTTTTATTATTTACAAAATATCGTCAATGATTTTTTATTTGAGGTATGTAATTTATGGTACTTTTATAATTAAAATACCTTTATTATAATAAACTTTTCTATATTTAACAGATTAAACCATATCCTATTGATATAAGTATTCATAATAAACTTTTAAATATATATGGAATATCTCAAAATCCAGATACAAATGATTATATTGCAGTTCTTGATAATGGTTATTGTAATAATTGTGGTGAAAAATATACAAATATATTTGATAAATGGTGTAAACCATGTTATTTAAATAATTTAAAAATAAATTTTGCAATCTGGACTAGTGGAAATAAAAAAATTGATGAGTTCATTCAAGAAAAGCATATTAAAATAAATAAGCAGAATGATATAATAGTCGAATGGATACCATACAACCAATTTAATAATATTAAAGAAATAAGCAAAAGTGATTTTACTGCAGTTTATTCGGCGATCTGGAAAGATGGTCCGTTACAATATGTTTATAAATATGATAATGAAGAGTTAAAAAGAATACCTAATAAAGAAGTTGTTTTAAAATGTTTGTATAATTCACAAGTTCTTAATAATGAATTTTTTAATGAGGTATGAAATTTTAATTAATTTATTATTAGTTTATTTTAAACATTTATTTATTATAAATTTTTATAACAGATTAAATCATATCCTATTAATAAAAGTATTCATAATAAACTTTTAAATATATATGGAATATCTCAAAATCCAGATACAAAAGATTATATTATAGTACTTCAAGATGGTTTTTGTGAGAATTGTGGTGAAATATATACAAATGTAGAGAAAAAATGGTGTAAAACCTGTCAATTAAATAATTTCAAAAAATATTTTTCATATGAAGTTAGTGGAAATGAAAAAATAGATCATTTCATTCAAGAAATGCAATTTAAAATAAGTAAATGGAGTGACATAATAGTTGAATGGATATCATATGATCAATTTGATAATATTAGTAAAGAAATAGGTGAAATTGGTTCTACTACAATATATTCAGCTATATGGAAAAATGGACCATTACAAAATGATAAATATTATGGAATATTAAAAAGGATACCTGATAAAAAAGTTACTTTAAAATCTTTACATAATTCACAAAATATTACAAATAAACTTTTAAATGAGGTAAAAAGTTTTTTTTTTCATAAAATATATTTTTTTTTTTTTCAATATAGTAATATTTTTTTTTTTATTTAAACAGATTGTTAAAGAATTCTCTATTAAAAAACGTAGGTCTCATAGCATGTTTGGAATATCCCAAAATCAGGATACAAAAGATTACATTATAGTTCTTGATAATAATTATTGTGAAAATTGTAATAAAATATATACAATTGTAACTGATAAATGGTGCAAATCATGTCAAGCAAATAATTTAAGAAAAAATTTTGTAAATTGGACCAGTGGAAATGAAAATATTGATAATTTTATTCAAGAAATGCAATTAAAAATTGATCATATTTATGATACAATAGTTGAATGGATACCATATAACCAATTTAATGATATCAAGGAATTAAGCAAAAATGGTTCTTCTGTAGTATGTTCAGCAATATGGAAAAGAGGTCCATTAACGTACTATAGAAATAAGTTGGTAAGAGAATTACTTACTGAAAGAATTTTTTTAAAATATTTTTATGGTTTACAGAATATTGCTAATGAATTTAATGAATTTAATGAATTTTTAAATGAGGTACAGATTTATTTTAATTAAAATTTTTTTTTATATAAATTTTTTTATTTAATATATTAACTGATCAAATCATATAAATTTAATGATATTTAGAATATATATAATGTATATGGAATATCTCAAAATCCAGATACAAAAGATTATATTATAGTTCTTAAAAATTGTTGTAAAAATTGTGGTAAACCAAGCAGTTTATGGTGCACACCATGTCAAATAAATAATTTAAAACAAAATTTTACAAACTGGACTAGTGGAAATAAAGAAATTGATGAAATAATTAGGGAAATGCAATTAAAAATTGATGAAAGTAGTGATATAATTGTTGAATGGATATCATATAATCAATTTAATAACATTAAAGAGATAAGTAATAAAGATGATCTATTTATAATATGTTCAGCAATATGGGAGGAAGGTTTATTAGTATATGGTAATGGAACAAACTTTAGGTTACCTAATGAAAAGGTTATTTTAAAATATTTGTGTAACTCGCAAGATATTATCAATGAACTTTTAAATGAGGTATGAATTTATTCTTTTTTTCACTTGAATTTAATTCAATTACTTGATTAATATAATTTTTTATTTTTATTAGATTAAAAAATATACAATTAGTAATAGTGATGAAATCCTTAATATATATGGAATATCTCAAAATCCAAAAACAAAAGATTATATTGTAGTACTTAAAGATGGTTTTTGTAAGAACTGTGGTGAAATATATACAAGTATAAATGATAATTGGTGTAAATCATGCCAAATAAATAATTTAAAACAAAATTTTACAAGTTGGACTAGTGGAAATAAAGAAATTGATCATTTTATTCAACAAATGCAATTTAAAATTAATAATTGTAGTGATATAATAGTTGAATGGATACCATATAGTCAGTTTCATAATATTAACAAAATAGGTGAAGGTGGGTTTGCTATAGTATATTCGGCAATATGGAAAGATGGTCCATTGCAATATGTTGAAAATCAAAGAGAGTTAAAAAGAAACCCTAATAAGAAAGTTGCTTTAAAGTGTTTAAATAATTCACAAAATATCAATAATGAATTTTTGAACGAGGTATGAATTCATTTTTTCTTTAAATTTATTATATTTAACTAAATGACTTTTTAATGCATATTTATTATCTTTAATAGGTTAAAGGGTATTCTATTAAAAATTATGATAGAATTCTTAGTTTATATGGAATATCACAAAATCCAGATACAAAAGATTATGTTATGGTTCTTGATTATGCAGATGGCGGGGATATTAGTAATTATAGTTATATTAATATAGATTGGTATTGGTTTGAAAGATTATTGGTATTAACACATATTATTGAAGGTCTTGAAAATATTCATAAAAATAAAATGGTTCATCATGATTTTCATACAGGAAATATATTATTATCGTTTGGGGATTATACTACTTATGGTTCTAGTTCTGGAAATTTGACTAGTCATATATATATTTCAGATATGGGATTATGTGGAGAAGTTGGTAATATAGATGAAACAAAGATTTATGGAGTTATGCCTTATGTAGCTCCTGAAGTATTAAGGGGGAAACCTTATAGTCAAGCAGCAGATATATATAGTTTTGGTATGATTATGTATTTTGTAGCAACCAAAAAACAACCTTTTGCAAATTTTTCTCATGATAATACTTTAGCATTAAATATATGTAATGGAATTAGACCTGAAATAAATGAAAAAGAAGCTCCCAAATTTTATATTGATTTAATGAAAAGGTGTTGGGATTCAAATCCAAATAATAGGCCAAGTGCTAATGAAATAGCTGAATTGATTGGGTCATTTACTTTTGTGGATGATGAAGAAATTAAAAAGCAAATTGAAGAAGCAGATGAATATAGAAAAGCAAATTTTTCAAATAGCCAATTAACTAACCATCATCCAAAAGCATATTATACTTCTCGATTACTTAATCCATTTACCAAAGAACTTCCAAAATATGACAATATTGATAATAATTCAGTGGAAATTGTTGATTTTGGAAAGTATGTTATACTAATTTATTATTATTTTTTTTATATAAAGAAATTTGGTAATAAGCATTATTTATTTTGTAGGATATCAGATGAAATTGAAAATCAACAATTAGAAGAGAAATAAAAAAAGATATCCCAAATTTTGTTAATTGTCATACTCCTTCATTGCATATAAGATAAAATATAAAGTTGAGTGTGACATTTGAGGCAATGTTTAAAGTTTTTCATTTTTGATATTTAAGGTATTAAATATTTTTTACTTGATGAAGTTATTGTTCAACACTGATTATAGAGTATATGTAAAGTTATTTATTTTCACAAATAAAATCAGTTTGTAATTGAATGATAAATATATTATTCATTAAAAGTTTTTTATTAAGACTATTTAATTTATTTACAATATTAAAATCAGTTTGCTATGTTTTGAATTTTAGTAACAAGATTTTGTTATATCTACTTTTAATATTATTTAATAATTTGAAATTTCTAGAATGCAATGGAAAAGCCAAATCTGGTGCAACGAACTCCGGATATTGTTAGAATAAGTTTATTTATAAGTAACTTAGAATAAATACATCGCCGAGTGAATTAAGGAAGGAAGAAATGATAAAGAAATTGAGGAAACATAATAAAGAGATGCGAGCAAGGAGTAGATAGATGATCTTTTACGTCTTAAATATCGAAGTCACGTGATTTCACGTTTAAAATTTTCCGATAAAAAATAAAAAGTTAAGATAGAAAATACTAACTTTTCTTTTTTGTAGGGCGAATTTGTTGAAGGTAAATAGTTGGGATATTTGTAACTGGGACGTGGGGCTGCTGGGCGCCATCTGAATATTTAGCATAGGTTTAGTCATTATAACAAATTTTATTTCCTAATTTTTACCCTGCAAAATATATACAAGTAGGCTTGTTTTTTTTAGTTAGGTTCAGTTTAGTCATTCTTTATTTACGGGTTTGTTTTTTTTCTATTTATTTTTATTTTTGCGTTTATTATAGTATAGATTGCATAAGACTAGATCAAATAATTAATGAACGCGTTACTAACTATTAAAAAAAAAAAAAAAACTTATTTAAATAAATATAAATTACTTACCTCATTTAAAAACTTTTACAGCTTTTAGAACTTTTTCCATCGATCATTTGTCTAAAAATTTTACGGGTTGAAAAAAAGACGGAAGAGTTTATAAGTAATATGGGGATGTCATTATTTCATATTTTAACACTACCAACTGGTTATTCACTCGTTTAGCTACCAGGAGATATGTTTTCTTTTCGCAAAGTTATATGTTGTTCAAAAAGTTGTCGCAATAAACCCGGGTTTGAAAGAAAATATACCTAAAAAGCTGGCGTAGGCAAAGGTTTTTTTTTTTGGAGTTGTGGATAGATGGCTTCTTGCACTTTTTTTTGTCTTCTGAGGACTTTGGGTAGCTCGAATACAAAATTACTACGGAATATCATGTGACTACTGCGGAGGTCTGGATGTTAGAGTTAGGTAAATAATATCACTCAATGTCACGTGATGTAAATAAATTGAATGAACTAAATCCATCTAACAAAATAGTCTTATTAATAATACTAAAACAAAGTTTTTTTTTTTTAAACGTATTTCTTTATTAGTAAATGTAGAAGAACATATTACATATTTAATACAAAAAATACATTGAAATTTAGCAAAACGTACGTTTAAACTAAATCTTTCCACACCAAAATCTTCGTATAATAAAACGAGGTAACGACTAAACTAAACATGCATATTGAACATTTACTAAAACAAGTTATCGTATATTTATTTCTCAAGCGATTGTAAGGAACATATTCTATAACTTCTTTCCAATTTCTCGTTGTTTATACGTACAAGTTTTCTTGGCATGTTATTAATAAAAACAATGGCGTACGCGGCTGATTTTAATATGAACTTGTATATCATTTGTTTGAAAATCTACTAGCTAAATTTGATTAAGCGATCTTCGAATTTCTGAATTTTGAATTTTCGAATTATTTCACGTGTCTATCACACGTTATGATATGAATAATTTCAATAGCCCTAACTTAATAAAAAAATAAAAATAAAAATAAATTAAATATCCAATATATTAGAATAATTTTCTTAATATTTTTAAATTTTGATAGTTAAATTAAATTAAAAATATTCAAAAATTACTGATGTTAACTAATTATTAAATACTATTTTAAATTCATGAATACATTTTTAAACAAGAATAATTAATTTATTGCTTTTTTGGAAATATTACAATCAAAAATACACTGATATAGTTAAACGGGTTTGTATAAAATGCAAAAAAAAAAATTTCATATTATTTAATCAATTAGTAATTCTTCTGATAAAATACTTTCTGTAGTACAATGGTAAATTCTTAAATTCTATGCATATGGAAGATCTAGAAATACTTTCCATAGCACAAACAGAAAGTTCTATCTTTTAAATCAGATAAATTATTTTCTAAGTGTTTGTATAGTTATGTATTTTGTAATATATGCATAATTAATAAACGCGTTACTAATTTTTTTTTTTTTAAAAAAAAAAAAATTAGATAAATTATAAATATGCTTGTAATTTTCCAATTTTTTTTTATAATGATTTATAACACATAACATAATAAAAATGAAACTTATAAAGATATCAAATGATGATTCTTTCGATCCAACACCAAAATTAAAATCTAGTCCCGTACCGATTTCATTTGTTTCATTTAATGCAGACGATCGCAATTGTATTCATTGTGGAAATACATATGCTATAACAACTAGTTATCAATACTATTGCAAAAAATGCTTATCGTGTTATCTCGCAAATATAACAGATAATAATTTATATTTGGACGTAACTAACAAATTATATTACAGTAAGCATGAAATAAATATGACAAAGAAACCACAAAATATTCAAGAATGCCATATATTTTGTTTTAAGCAAATACCTAATGATCGTAATGATATGTATTATTCTGGAAATTATTCAATCGAAAGGAGATATTTTGCAGAATCATTCGAGAAATATTGTAGACAATGTGGTAAAACTTATTCTAATAACAATACTATTTATGATAAGGATGAGTTCAAATTGTGCACAGATTGTTATTTATTTTCTTCTGAATGTATAGAATCAACTTTGACTAAAAAGCGTATCACAGTTCTTTACTTCCCGTGTTGGCTGAATATTAGTAGATGTAAATCTTGCTGTAAAATGTTATTAAAATTTACATCAGACTGTCAAAAGTATTGTGAGAATTGTTTTACATTTTATATCGGATGTAGATATTGTTTAACAACAAATATTATTTTTGGAATTACAAACCAATCACAATGTAAAAAATGCAAGAGAGTATCTTTTATTATTTTTGATAACAGTGGAAACAGTTATTTAGATGATGTTCTTGCTAATTCAAGACGTGTAATCTACAATCAATTGAACTTAACTGAGTATACTGATTGGATATTGTATATTGACAATTATTTCATACCGTATGAATCATTTCACTCTATTTATGAAAGATTCTATCATTCGAGCGATAAAGCAGAAATATTAATGGAATGGATACCATATTCTCAATTTACAAATGTAAAAGAAATAGCAAGAGGAGGATTTGGTATTATATATCTATCAACTTGGCTAGATGGCCCAATAATGGATAATGATGGTATTTCAAAATCGAGAATGAGATATAATAATGAAACTGTCATTTTAAAAAAATTTATAAATTCTCAAGGTATTAGCAAATACTTTTTAAATGAGGTAAGTATATTACAATATTTATATTATTTTTAAGTATTCATAAAAAAGAATATAATTTTAATCCTTTATATTGAAATTTATAGTTGGAATCAAGTCAATGTTGTCGTAAATTTAATCGCAATATTATTAAAATTTATGGTTTTACAAGAGATCCTAAATTTGACAATTATATATTAGTTATGCAATATGCATCAAGAGGAGATTTACATAATTGGATACAAAAAAATTTTACAAAAATTACGTGGAACAAAAAATTAGATACTTTATGGAAAATTTCGGAAGGGTATTTACACTGTATATTTTATTTATTACATTTATTTATATAATTTCTATTTTATTAATTATTTTCTTATTTTAGACTTGAAATTATTCATCATGCAGATTACACACATCGAGATTTTCATAGTGGAAACATATTATGTGAGCCGAATAATAATAATTATAATAACAATAAATGGATAATTGCAGACTTAGGATTAGCACAACCTGCAAATAACACTTCAAATAATGAAATATATGGAGTAATACCTTATATTGCACCAGAAATATTTAAAGGATCTTCATTTTCTAAAGAATCAGATGTTTATAGTATGGGTATGATTATGTGGGAACTTACAGCAGGTTGTAAACCTTTTGCTAATGTTGAGCATGATGTCAATTTAATTCTTAAAATTCTTGACGGAAAACGACCTGAAATTACAGAAGATACACCCGAATGTTTTGCTAATTTAATGAAAAATTGTTGGAATCCTGATCCTAAAGAAAGACCTTGCATAAAAGATATTCATGATACTTTGGTTAGTTGGTATTTATTAGGCAAAAATATTGAACAATTTGACCAAGCTGAGATAAAAAGAGAAGAGTTAATTAGTTCAAAGAAACTTGGACCCGAGTTTAGTGAAGTACCTCATCCAAAGGCTATTTATACAAGTAGATCATTAAGCCCTTATATATCTGAATGTTCATCTATTTCATCTATTTATTCTTCAAAAGGTAATAGATAAATAAATGTAATATTAGATATTAAGTTTTAGATGAATACTAAATTTCTTTTCTATAGATTACATTTCGAGAGAACTAGAATTTGACATAGATTAGGTATTTAAAGTTAAAAGATTTAATTCATCTTTATGTATTTTACATTCCAACAATTAAAACAAAATTTACTACTAGTAGATCTAACGAACAAAAAATTGAAGAAATAAATATTAATTCTAATGGAAATAGTGGTAAATATTAATTAGGCTAAATTTCCATTTATATTTTATTTATTTATTTATTTATTTAATTTATAATAGGAAAATCCATTAAAATTAGTTCTAGTAGTTCAAAAACTTCTCTTACAGACCGTATTAAAATAGAAAATAATAATGAAGTGAACCTGTAAAAAAAAAATCTGATTATGTAAGAATTTAAATATGTTCATTTCACTTGTTCATTAGAGAAATATGCCTATGGTTTTATATTATTATATATTTTATATTTTGTATTTGAGTTATAGTAACAAATTATTAAAATCAATAACATTAAAGGACTATAAAAATTAAATCATGAATTGAATTTCCAAATTAAGCAATTTCTTGTCACAATTATGTGTATAAATGTTTGAGTTATACATTAACAACTCCTTCATCAAAATATTTCTCCACAAACTTAATATGTTCTTTAATAAAATAACGATATTTATAAAAGGTGTAACAAATTTAATTGGGGTTCTACCTCTCCATTTTTCAAAAAAAAAATTTGTAATCCATCAACTGAAATTATAAAATCTTCATTAAATGAAAATACTTTAAAAGTTTTTGGAGAATAATCCGCTATAATATTTAATATTTCATCACGATTATCTTCATCTTCTATATCAATTATATATAGGTATAATTTATTTAATCTCATACAATTTAAAAAAATTTCTTTTATACCACCTAAATTTTTAAATTAAATATTAATACTCAAACTTTCAATCTTTGGACAATTTATAGCAATGGCTTTATATAATCTTATAGTAGTATATTCAAAGTTATGATCATTCTTCATACTAATATTTTTAATATTTCCATGAGAATTTTCAATTAACATACAAACTTCGTGACGTGGTAAATATTCTGTTTTGAGGTACAGAAGTTTTGAAAAAAAAGCAATTGATAAATACCTTTGTAATTCTTGCTTATTATTATTATAATAACTGCTAATAAACTTTAGGTAAACTAAATTTGTTAACGATGAAAAAAATTTCGGTGAAAGTAAGACTTGTGCTATAATAAGTTTTATTAATGTACCAGCTTTTCTTTCTATTGCTTCACTTAATTGTAAAATTTTTGTTTCACTGCAATAACGAAAGGCTAATGATCGTAAATTCTTTTAATTATCAATAAATTTGATTAAGCCTGGAATAGCTTTATCACAATCTTGTATTTCTAAATCCTCTATATTTTGACAAATTTTTGCCATTTCAAATAATTTTCTGATCAATCCTTAAGGTATGGAGCTGAGAAAAAAAGTTGATGCTCCAGCAGGGTATTGATATAAAGGTAATGCCGTTGTCCAATTAAATACTGTTATATTCTTACAATTGGTGATAAATAATTTGTAATATTCTTGTCCCAATAATTTATATTTTTCCTGATATTTATGATCATTCTTACTCAATGCATCTCCCATCTTATCGATAAAGTCTGTTGAAATTTGTGAAGAAAAACTAATGTAATTGAATAATGGCTTGTTGTTTAAAAAAGGAGTTGGAATTGAAACAACTTCATTCTCAATTAATAATTGTTTTGAAGATGTTGGTAATAAATAGACTATTGTGTTACAAAGTTTATTAAATGATAAAGATTGATTAGAAGCTTTACTATAATAAAGAGTCTTATAAGGATTTTCCATAATATATTTACTCCTATTACACCATAATTTATTTACCAAAATACAAGAATATAAAGAATTGGGATCATCTTTTAGTTCGTAAAAATCAAAATGAGACAATCATTGACATCTTTAATATGGAGAGAAAAAAAAATAGGGGTCCTTTTATAGCAGGACTTTTTTTCGGGGTTAATGTAGCCGACGTAAATTTATGTAGATGTAACAATAATTATAAATGAATGGAGGAATAAAAATATACTTTATTATGGTGGTAAGCCACATATTATAAATATTATATAATTTATTAAATTTATTTATTTATCACGTGAAAAAGCTGACAATGACACATCAAACAGGAGGACAATAGGAAATTTTTTCTTAAGCAGTGATCTGCTTATATTAACTCCTGAAAAATGATCAAGAAGTTGTGTGTACTAGCCTGTAATCTTTGCAATCCTTTATAAAAATGAACAAACAAGAAAGAGAATATGTAAATATCTAAAAATCAAATTCTTTTGTAATTAACATTTTATTCAGTTATGTATATCAATTTTTTTTTCGTTTTTTCGTGATATATATACAGTATTTCATTCTTATTATATATCTTTTTCAGCAATGTAATGACTATTTGTTTTGTGATTTTTGAAAAATTTTCAATTGAGATTTACGTAATAGGAAAATTTATAATTCTGAAAGAGATATATACTATATGTTACTTATTGTAAATGAAAAATAGGGAAAAAGATTTACGTGATTTACGTTTTTGATCTTATGTAATTTTGTACCACATGAACCTCAAAAAAGATTTTGAACGTAATCATTTTAAAAGGTTGGAATAATTAGAGCAATAACAATTTTAGTGTGATGCTCAAAACCTAATAAGCATTTATAATTCATAGAAATAATTCATAATATGAACTCTTGTAGTTTTAAGACAAGAATAAAAACCTGAGACGATTCTATCAAATAACCTACAGTACTTGTATCCATCAATTAATTAATTACAACATTAAGTTTACCGTATATCCTTAAAAACCTTAAATAAATTTACCTATTTTTAAACTGGAAATATTGAAATTTTCTAGAATATTTTAAAATTAAAAATTAATTTGTGCAAATTAGTAAATCAAGAAAAGTAGTTACCTAAACTTTAACTTAACATTATTAAATTATCCTCTTCATTGTTATCTATAATAATTTTCGAGCTTAATTCTTCTTGATTGATTCATTTAATTTTGCAGAAAAAACAATTTTTCTATATGTATAACATGATGATGGATAATTTTCAATAATAGGTTCAATTTCTGTAAAAGTTTTTAAAAATAATTAAAATTAATTAATCTAACAATTTATAAAATAAATCTATTCTTTACCTTGTACAGAACTTTCATTTGATTGAAGTCATTTACAGTACCATCTATAAAAATTTTCATTTAGTTCTTCAGCAGTTGGTCTTTCATTAGGATTACGTGACATGGCAACATGATTAACATGATTAGGCTTTCTACAGTAAACATTATTATGTCAACGAAATTTTTATATAAGTGTGTGGCACATCAGGAAGGATTAGTTGCTTTTTAAGAATGCCTTGCCTTTTCATATACTCTTTTTACTTTTTTCTTAATATCTCATAAAAATGATGCTTTCTAATTTTAGCTTTTCTCGCCACTGAAAATGGTGTTATTTATAAAAGGAGTGAGCACAAGGATAAACCAAAAAAATAAGGAAAACATGGAAAACATGGAAAAGTCAGAAAGACCTGGAAAATATATAGAGTACGTTATGATAATATGAATATGGAAAACTTGGAAAATTTGGAAAATTCGGCAAATTCAACAAATTCGGTAAATTTGGAAAAAGGAAAAATGGATTCTGAAGATAATGAAGACAAACCAAAATATCCTAAAGCTAAATACTAGATTTTATTTTCTTCATTTTTTTTAGTCAAAATGTTTTATAGCATTTATCTAATTGTTCAAATTATGATTTTTTTTATTCAAGTATTGATAACTTTTGTCGAATTGAAGAATTAGTACATCATTTAGAATTTTTACAAAATTAATATCAATTTTTAATGTCTCGTAAAATTTTTTTTTTTACATTTAAATTATTATAATATTATTTTTTGCCGTGAAACATGAAATTGAATCTTTAAAAAATAACTTATTTTTCTTTTACTTAGCTACAATTATGAATAAATTTTTTATTATAAACTGAAATCAATAAAATTTTTGCTTTAAACTTGAAAAAAACGAGATTATGATGACCTTTTAAACTTCAAAAATTTTAGTTCGTTAGGAGTCGGCCTGTAGAGAAAAAGATTACAAAAGTGAAAATCTCATAATAAATTCATTAATAATTTTTAACCATATGAATAACTTTTTAACACATTTTTTATAAGTAAATACGAAACTTTTAATAAATAATAAATATAATAAATATAGAGATACAAATAAATATAAAGATATAAAGATATAAATAAATATAAATATAAATATAAATATACAAATAAATAAATATGAAGTTTCTTAGATTTTTTATAATAAAACTAAATAAATGTGAAGATTTTTTTCTTTAACAAATACTTTTTTTTTCTTAAAGGTCACAATAATTATATCACAGTTAATAAAAAATTCTAGTTGGGACTGGGCCGGGTTTCAAATAATGGACTTTTGATCTATAAGACCGTTAAGTTAAGAAATTTATATAGATTTGCTAAAATTTAAATCATAAATAATACATAATTACATAATAAGAATAAATGTATACTTTAATTTTACGTAATATGAGCTTAATTATTTTTATCTATAATAAAAATAGTTTAATTAAAATTTAATGGATCAAAAAAATCACACGCAAAATTAATTACCTTTAGAATTAATATTAAGTTTAGCAAAATCCATTTTTAAGGAATCTATAGATATTAATTGTTAGCATTATAAAATAAATTTAAATTATTATATCATGTTATATATGTTTACCTGAATATTCTATTTCATTATTATCAGCATTTTTTGGTACTGGAAGATTTTTAAAATCTAAAAGTTTACTTGTATAAACTGCTTGAGGATGTGTCGTATATGGTATACTATTATCACTAGATATTAAAAGTGATGAAAATGATAAATTCTTATTAATATCATCTGCTTCTTTAGCTTGTCCAGAAATTACAGAATTCACATCTTTTTTATCAGACCATAAACCACCAATTAACCCAAATAGATTAATTGCATTAGGTCGTTTTAAAGGGTCAGCATCCCAACATTGATTAATAATGTCAAAAATTAATTGAGGAATTCTATAATTAGACTTTGGTCTCAATCCATTACAAATTTTCATTGCTAAGAATTCATCATGAGCTATATCATAATAAGGAGGGAAACCTGTACAAATTTCATATGCAATAATTCCATATCCATAAATATCACTTGCTTGAGTATATTCTTTTCCTTTTAAAACTTCAGGAGCTACATAAGGTAATACTCCATATATTTCTTTTTTACTATTTTGAGAGGATTTAACATTTGCTGGTTGACATAATCCTAAATCAGTAATATAAGCATCTCCACCAAAATTGCTTAATATATTTCCAGAATGAAAATCATGATGAATAAATCCATTATTATGAATATCTTGAAGACCCATTGCAATAGTGTATAAACTACCTAACTTTTGATACCAATTCAGTAAAGTGAAGTTGTTATTTAAATGTTGTCTTAAACTACCATTTTTTAATTCCATTACCATCATAAAATTATTTGTTTTTGGATCTTTGGTAATGCCAAAACAACGAACTATGAAAATATTATATACTAAAATGTTTGATTCAACCTTAAAAGAAAATCATAATTATTTTAACATTTATTTAATAATACTAAAATATATAAAAAAATATCTTACTTCTTTTAAAAAATCCGCTGCAATATCTTGTGAATTATGTAAACACTTTAAAGCGACATTTGTTTTACCACCTCGTTTCCATTGATCATTTTTATAACCCCACTTATCAATATAACCATCTTTCCAAACTGCTTTAAAAGTAGTTCCAAATCCCCCCTTTGCTAAATATTCAACATCTTCAAATTTATCATATTCAATCCACTCTATGATATGGTATTTATCTTTAGCTTTTAATTGTGCTTTTTGAATAAATTCGTCAACGATATGATTTCCACTTGTCCAATTTTTGAAATTTGGTTGAAGTACACAATAATTGCAAAAATCCGTATTTATCCTAATCTGGTTACATTTTTTACATAAACCATTTTCTTCATAACGTTCTTTTAAATCTTCGTCTGTTATTAGTTTATCAATTAACGATTCTTGTTCTTCAGTCAAATGAAAAGGATTAAAATATTTTATTTGTTCAATTACATCATCACTTAATTTAATTTCGTCCATTTTAAAAATAATTTATTAAACAAAAAATATGTTTTAATTCATATGTAAATTACTCAAAATAATAAGAAAAAGAAAAAAAGAATGAAAATAGTGGTGAAACGTTATTTTATGTTGAATGATTTCAAGATCGGCAACAAAATTATGAAAAAAAAGACTAGTTAAAATACACAAAGGAAACACAAAAATCTGATCGCCAATTAAATTTATTCAATTGCAAATTCTCCATAATAGTTATAATAGTTAAGGTTAAATGATGAAATAAGTAGTGAAATAATAAAATGTTTAACTAAATATAGTAAGTGTTATGTAATTTATTTTAATTGTTTGTGGATTTTTTCATAATGGTGTAGTTAGCTGAAAAATAACTAGCCGCAACGTGATCTGGACCTGGCTCAGGCGTAGATCGTCGTGGAATTCCAGGAGATTTTCTGCGATTAAACCGGGTCCGGATGATCGGCAATCAGGAATTCAGCTCCGTTTTCGGCTAACTACACCATAATGCGAAAATAAAAAACTAAATTAAACGTTATGAGATATAATATTTTCTATAAATTGTAGATTTATTCAGATATGATTTCGACCATTAAAAATTTAACAAAAAAAAAAACAAAATTGTTAATAATAAATGAAAGAATTAAAATATTATTATAAATAATGATTTAACTGAAGAATATAAGCACTTTAGTAATATTTTGCATATCATGGTTGGTGGAAATCATATAATATGAAACATTTTCAACTGGTAATTTTTCAAATATATCATATTCAATCCTTCTCTAAATTTTACAAAATCTTATTGTAATAAAATATAAATTTCTCAATTATCACATAAATATTTAATCTACTAATCGCCTTTTATAGCTGAATGTGTATAAAAAATTACGTCTAATTGATAATTAAAATAGTATTTTACATTTGGAAGAATTTACGTTAATTTTTAACGTGTCTTGTTAAAATTTTTTTTTACAAATAAATTTTACCAAAATTTTAAATTATTAAAATCTTGTCTTTGTGCCATGAAATCAAATGTTTTTTTTTTACTAGCTACAATTATGAGTAAATTTTATTATAAGCTGAAATCAATGCCTTGAAACTTTAATAAAAAGACAAGATTATGATGACCTTCTAAACTTTGAAAATTAAATTAAATTTTAGTTCGTTAGAAGCCAGTCTAGTCTGTGGAAAGAAAGATTACAAAATACTATTCATGTCATAAATTCATTGATGATTTTTTTTTAATAAATACTAACAAATAGTAATTAAAGTACAAAAAAAATTTTTTTTTTAATAGGTAAAGGTAAATACGAAAGCTTTTAATAGATAAATATAGATATTTTTTTTTTTTTATAAATAAATATGAAGTTTCTTACCAAAAATTTTTTAATACTAAATAAATGTGAAAGTACAAATAAATTTTTTTTAAAGGTTACCATAATTATATCATAGTTAATAAGAAATTCTGGTTGGAATCTGGATTAGACTGGGCTGGGTTTCAAATTATGGACTTTTGTGACTCCAATCTAGAAGACTGTACTGTTAAATTAGGAAATTTATATAAATTTGTTAAATTTGAATCATAAATAATTCCTTCAATCTCCAATTACAAAATATATATAAATAAAATAAATAATTACATAATAAGAATAAATAATAAATATATACTTTAATTTTACGTAATCTGAGCTTAATTATTTTCATCTATAATAAAAAATTAGTTTAATTAAAACTTAATAGATAAAAAAATCACACGCAAAATTAATTACTTTCAGACTTAATATTAAGTTTAGTAAAATCCATTTTTAAGGAATCTATAAATATTAATTGTCAGCATTGCAAAAAATATAAAATATTATAGCATGTTATATATGTTTACCTGAATATTCTATTCCAAGTAAATCATCATTATTATCAGCATTTTTTGGTTCTGGAAGATTTTTAAAATCCAAAAGTCTACTTGTATAAACTGCTTGAGGATTTGTCGTATATGATATAGTACCAGTAGATATTAAAGGTGATGAAAATGATAATTTTTTATTAATTTCATCTGCTTCTTTAACTTGCCCATAAATTACAGAATCCACTTTCTTAAGATGAATATCACGAACCAATCTAAATATTAACTCCCGCAATTCACTTGCATTAGGTCGTTTTAAAGGGTCTGCATCCCAACATTGATTAATAATGTCAAAAATTAATTGAGGAATTCTGTAATTAGACTTTGGTCTTAACCCATTACAAATTTTCATTGTTAAGAATTCATCATGAGCTATATCATAATAAGGGGGGAAACCTGTACAAATTTCATATGCAATAATTCCATATCCATAAATATCACTTGCTTGAGTATATTCTTTTCCTCTTAAAACTTCTGGAGCTACATAAGGTAATACCCCATATATTTTTTTATTACTATTTTGAGAGGATTTGACATTTGCTGGTTGACATAATCCTAAATCAGTAATAAAAGTTCCTTGATCAAAATTGCTTAATATATTCCCACAATGAAAATCCTGATGAATTAATCCTTTATCATGAATATCTTGAAGACCAATTGCAATATCAAATAAACTATACAACTTGTGATCCCAATTCAACGAAATGAAGTTATTATTTAAATGTTGTCTTAAACCACCATTTTTTAATTCCATTACTATCATAAAATTATTTGTTTTTGGATCTTTGGTAATACCAAAACAACGAACTATACATCCAGTATTATATACTGTAACATTCGATTCAACCTTAAAAAAAAATTATAGTTAATTTAACATTTATCTGATAATACTAAAATATATAAAAAAATATCTTACTTCTTTTAAAAAATCTGCCGTAATATCTTGTGAATTATGTAAGCACTTTAAAGCGACTTTTTTTGTTTCACCTCTTATTATAAGTTGATTATTTTCATCCCAATCTTCAATGCATCCATCTTTCCAAACTGCTTTAAAAGTAGTTCCAAATCCCCCTTTTGCTAAATATTCAACATCTTCAAATTTATCATATTCAATCCACTCTATGGTATAAACCGCATGTCTAGCTTTTAATTGTACTTTTTGAATAAATTCATCAACGTCATGATTTCCACTTGTCCAATTGTTGAAATTTTGTTTAAAATATTGTGAATTACATGATCGACAATAATAGTTGTAAGTATTAGGCTGCTTACATTTTTTACATAAACCATAATTTTTATAACGTTCTTTTAATTCTTTGTCTGTTATTAGTTTATCAGTTAACGATTCTTGTTCTTCAGTCAATTTCCCATACTCAAAATCTTTTATTTGTTCAATTACATCATCACTTAGTTTAATTTCATCCATTTTAATAAATAATTTATTAAACAAAAAATATGTTTTTAATTCGTATGTAAAAATCACTAAAAAGAAAAAGAAAAAAGAAAAAAGTAGTTGTGAAACGTTATTTATGTATTTATGTTGCAACGATTTCAAGATCGGCAACAAAATTATAAAAAAAGGATTAGTTAAAATACACAAAGGAAACACAAAATCTGATCGGCAATTAAATTTATTCAATTTTGGCAAATTACGGCTTTTTATTTAAATTCTCCATAATAGGTAAGATTAAATAAAATATCGTTATAAATAATATGTTTTCAACTGTTAAATCTATTATATTCTCTAAATTTTACAAAATCATATTGTAATGAGATATAAATTTTTTAATTATCATAAAAATTATTAATTTAAACTGCTGAACGTGTGTAAAAATCACATAATTGGTAATTTACAAGCCAATATTTTTCAAGTGAGTATTATCTTTCAAACTTTTCAATTTTAATATTCTATTAATATATTGTTTTATATACTTGATTCTTTATAATATTTCCGCTAGAATATACAAACTCCATGAGATGTTAAATATCGTATTTTGAGGAATTTAAAGCTTCGAAAAGAAATTAGTGATAAATACTTTTGTCATTTTTATACGCTTTATTTATGTAACTATAATCAGTATTAAAGTCTAAATATTCTAAAACACCTTTATTTCATTTACAATGGTTGGTTATACTATAATTTTTAATGCTTATAAGTTTTAAGTATAACGGGATTTTTCATTTTTTGCCTAATATATATATTTTTTTCAATTCTTACAGATCGGGAAATTCAATAATACCTTCAGATCAAAAATATCTTTCACTAATACAACTCATTAATAAAATAGCTATAACCTGTTGCGTTGCTTTGATCTATATTTTGGTAAATTAGATATATAAAGTGTTGGTTATAAATAAATATATACAATAAAAAAGGTAAATAAAAATATGAATAATAAAAATCAATATAAAAATAAAATTGAAAAATAAAATATTTTTAAAAAAAAATCAAAGAAAAATAGATTTAAAAAAAAACGAAAGAAAAATAATTAAAATCAATTTTTTTTGAATTTTTTGGTTGAAAAAAAAACTGAAAAAAATAAAAAAGCCAATTTTTCTGCAGTTTGACAAAACCGAAAATAAAAATTTTAAATTTTCATAAAAAATTTTGGTTTATATGAATAGGACCCCGAACAATACTGAAATAGGTCATAGGAAAAAATGCGTAGAAAAAGCCAAAATAACCATGAAAATCTTTCCTTTTTTAGATAATTTTTAATAATGTTGGTCAGATTTTTATTACTTATTTTAGTAACCGACCAACATTATCATAATTCCGGCCCTGAAAAAATGCGCAGAGCTAATAGTAAAATTTTTCCAATTTCCTATGACCTATTTATATATTACTCGGGGTCCTATATGAATCAGTAAAAAGGTGTCTTTAAAAAAAAAGAAAATTTCATATCTATAAGAACCTATTTTTAAAAAAAATTACCGGCTTATAATCTGCTAAGATCTGGTGACATCGTAGTAATTGACTCAAAAAAAAAGCTTTTTCCATATTTTTGCCAAAATGCAGACGTGGATATTACACCTTTAATAGCATAAACAAAAATTAATAATAACATAAATATGTTTATATTAAATTGTCACAAAAATTTCCGAATTAAATCGTATTATTTTATTATTAAATTACTTATTTACTACTATTTATAAATTTTAAAAACGCTTTACTTAGTCCTGAATTGTAATAAAGAGAAAATGTATATTTATAATAAATTATTAATAATTACAAATCTCTTGTAAAAGATGAAAAGAAGTATTATAGATTTATAGGTAAAAAATTATTGTTAAAATAATTTATTTGCTCGGGATAGCATCTCACGGAATGCAACGACGGAAATGAAAAGTAAAATCAAAAAATATCTCGTTCGTACATATTGTTATGATAAAAAGTAGTGATTCGCTGAGCTTTACAATATTTTATTGTCTTTAGACTTTACACCGATTTATTGACTTTTGATATTTATTTGTGAAGCGGATCTATGGTCCTTTATATACTGTATTTTGGTTGCAAACTTATTTATCAACGCTAATACTGTTGGAAGGAAAATTCTGATTCGAAATATAGACCTGTGGAAATAATATCATGTCTATCTCTCGGAGGAAAAAACTTATACCTAAAGATACAATAGTTAACGTATTCTAATATTCCCCTCCTCATACTCACAACATGTTTAAGCAATGAAACTTTTTTCGTAAATGCTTGGCCTTAGGCACTTTTTTGTTAATAATGATACACATGTCGAGTCAGAGAAAGCGACATGATACAGAGGGTAAATTTCTATAAGGGTATGTAGGCCACATAAACATCTATACGCTGTCTCTATCGAAGATAACATTATGTATCTATCTATTATATCCTTAGCAGTATTACTCTCTGAAGAAATATATTGACATTCTATCTTCTCGTTCGTGGTGCAGTTCGTTTCAAAGACCCTGGCTCACCCCGCGATATCACACTAAGATATAGACTGGGTGCTGATCGAAAGGTGGGTAAACTGGCAGGTATTTATAGGAAATCGGATAGTCACACGTTTTATGCCCCTGATTTGCAATTGATCTTACCGAGACGCATGGGCTGAAATAAATCTACAAAATCGAGGTGATTGCGATTTCACGAAAACCGATATATAAGTAGTTATCCCCTATTTCATCGTAAATATATCCATTTTCGATTACTGCACAAAGGTCATGATCCGCAAAATGAAAATCAGGGGATATACCAGAACTTTCGGGAAAAACATGACGAATAACGCACGCGGCTTCTTCAATTTCATCCGCGATTAGATCACACAATATATTGTATTACGCTCGAAACCTGTTATCATTACCGTTTAAAGACAATTCCGGTTTTATCCTATACTCCCGTACCAAGATTGATCGAGCGTTGATCGGGTGATTCGAGTCGGGATTGTCAGTGAAATCCATATTATGCATTTCGATGAAGTGATCTAAAATCTTTGGATTTCATCGTTAGTAAACTTTGATATTTCATTCGTACTACATGACCGACTTTGTTTATTCCCACCCTTTCGAACAATTTACAGATCTTCTCAGCTCTCTGAGTTTTTTTAAACTATCTCTTGATATATCCTAGAGTGGCGTCCACGTGTCTTGAGATCTTTTCTTGCGAAGGATGTTCAGTTGCTTCACGACTTCATCGTATATTAAGCCTTTTGCCTTATTTTCACCAATTTTATTTTTATAGCACAAGGCCTTCTCCTGAAATGCAAAGTTTCTTCCATTAGTGATGCCAGCATAATATTTCTTCTTGATTTATTTCCAATGTAACTCTTCTGCGATAAGTGCTTCATCACATACTGTACAGTAACTCAGTCAATTGCTGAGATTGCATCTAAGTCAATAGTATCAGTTTTTCGAGTCAACAGAACTTGCGTTGTTGGACTGGTTCTCGCTACGCTCAGCTGTGTTTATTACGGAGTCGGGTACATCATCAGCTGATGCCACTTTCTGATTTCGTTCGTTCTGTGGCTGTTCAGCTGAAGAGTCCTGCTCCACTTTCACGAGTCTGGATACGACATCCTCGACTTTAGACTTGAGTGCAGCGTTCTCGGCATGAGTATTCACCCTACTCTTCTCACAACTCCTCGATTCTGTTCCCGAGTTCCTTGCTGAGCTTCGCAACCTCATATTTGAGATCGAAATTCTCAACCTCAAGGTCAAGCTTTTTTCTAAGCTCGGTATTCTTTTCTTCTTGCAAAGAAGTGTGTTCTCTCCATACTTCAAGCTCAAGCTTAGCGTTAATCTGTCTCAGTACCTCAAGTTCGGATCTTGCCGTTGTGTTTGCTTCACAAGCAAACTGACATGGTGTTACATTTACATACACGGCAAAAAATATTCAATGTTAATGATATTACGTAATTAAACGTGACATTATTCATATCAGGATTTAATAAATATATTATTGCCGGAAGTCGGCTTACAGTACATAAAATGCGAATATATCGCGTTTCAAGGTATATAAATGATATGCATCCTTCTCTATAAGAACGTGATGAGGTTCTGTGGTGGGACTGTTCATTGAAATATTGAAAAATCGACATAACACTGTATTCTTTAAATTGTTACAATTTTTAATGAAGTTGAAACTGATCTAGGTAAAAAAAATGTTATCGTTAGCGTTGAGCTCGCCAACTATCATAAATTAGCAGGTTAGGGAGCTAGTTTTTCTTCTTATTTTTTGGAATTATTTTTATTTTATATAAAATGTTACAATCTTCGATCTTCAATAAAATTGAAATTTGCATTTCATATCAATCTTAAAGTAAACCTATGACCACCCACCGCCAATAGTATTTACATAATTATTTTTTGCTGAAAAACATGTGATAGAGAAATTTGGAATCTTAAAAATTAGATGCTTCGGATTCTGGTAGGTAGTCATATAATCTTTTTCCCATTCTCTTTTTTTCTTGATTACTGAATATTATTAATTTTCTTTCTTTTTTCTTTAGCATTATATATTTTTTTGTCTTTTGGGCTCGGAAAGGAGCTTGTGGATATTGGAAGGTATGAGATTTTTTAGTAATAATTGTTACTAATCAAATTTTTTCAAAAGATAAAAATTTTAAAAAATGGTTCAATATTTTCTTTTGTCCTTTAGATTCGGTCAGAAGTTTGTGGACGATACCAAAGTAATCGAGCTGACGTGCTGCGGCAAATTAGGTTTTCTTTTTTCAATTTTAGGCTTGGTCACATGGAACTTTTTAACACTTTTTTATAAATAAAGTAAAAATGCAGTAAAGAATTTAGCTAATTGAATAGTTTGTTATTTTTAATGGTATTCATTTTATTTTAACAATATATAATCAGTGAAATAAACGATTGACTGAACAATTCTTTAGATATTTCTTTTGAAATTTAGCTTCATAGAAATAACCACGTGATCTCATTTAACTTCTA